GTGTGTGTGTGTGAACTGTCAAATCTATGTAATATTTATTTATTTATATATTCGGTAATTTATTGTTTTGTTTTTTTATTACCTAAAATATCTAAATACTTAACAGAAATTGGCTTTTTTTTATGAATGAGCATGGCGTTATGTTTTGCTAAGCAACCGCGTAGAACACCCTGTAAAGGACGGCTAATCGAACTCAGCTTGCTTGCTGCGGGTATGAAACTCGGGAAGGAGAAACTCGATTTTTCTGTCATCATTATTTATAAGCTTTGTCTGGCTCTCCAGCGCCTGCTGTCAACCTATCTCAGCTGCTGGCTAGCTAGCTTGTATGCGGAGTGTATGTACCAGTAATGACTCCTGAAATAAGTCTGCTTTAGTGACATTTAGTCAGAACTAGTAAAACGTAACTGCTGAAGGCAATGGGGCTACCGCAGAGCTCGTTACTGTCGGACGGAGGAGCTAATTGTGGATATCATGTCCACGGGGTACGTTAGAAAGTAGTGCAAGGTTACACGTCACGCGGTTTGTTAGTCCCTATAGCTCACTTTTCATACATTTTTTGCTTAGTGACTTGTTAACTGTGCTTTGAACCATAATTGCTGCTTTATCTATCTACGCAGAGCCTGACTGTAATTGACAGGTTATCTTGTGACTGTAGTTACTCGTGAGCTCAGCTTGAATGGTGTCCGCCCATGATGATGTTGATGATGAGGTGGCATTTGGCACACTTCCAACCCGCGTGCCGTTGTTGGTAAATGGAATAGTGTAACAGTCACTGTAGAAACTTTCTTTAGTTATGGTACGTTTCAAAGTTGCATATAACATATTAACCGCGCGAGAAAGCGGGTACCTCGTCTCAATGAGAAGTCCCAAATTTTGGACACTGCAATATCGTAGGTTGACACACGGGGGGCGATAATATCACTGTGCTGTTTGTCAGTCAAACCAAATGTCAAGTTTTCTGTTCTGTGTTTTAAATTATTATTAATATTTTTATTATTTAAGTAATTTTCTTTCATTCTCAGGTTCAAGAGGACTCTCCTGCTCTGAAGGCTGGTCTGGAGCCTTTCTTTGACTTCATTCTCTCTATAGGAAACGCCCGACTTGTGAGTAGACTCCTGTGTCACTACACTCCTGGTTAAAATGAGTAACTAGGTGTCAAATATTGACTTCTTCTATCTTTATGACATTTCAGGTATGAATTGTAATTGAAAATGATGAGTTGAGGACAAAATGAAAATGTCAAAAAAGCCCTGCAACGTAGCTGTGAATGTGGCATATATTCAATTGTATTTGAAAGTATGCTGAAAACTAAAACCTTTTTAAATTCTAAACTTATTTTAAAAGGCGTTATGAAGCTGAATAACATATTTATAGATCTCAATCAACTGCATAGGACAAAAGCAAGTTGTAGTCTGTTTTGAAACCATCTTCAAGACCCATTTTTCTGTATATAAAGCAAAGTACTCGGCAGGTAGGACACAGCAGGCAAACACCGATTTCCATAATTTTGAGGTACTGCCTTTATGAGATAATCCAGAGCTCTGTGTTTTTCAGTGCTTTATTAATAACCTCATTTGGAAGAGTGGCAGTAATTACATTTCATGTTCTTTTTCATGAAAGAAAACGCATCTGCACAGTTGCAGCTGGAGTAGCCCTTTTTCCTTTTGTTTCTCCAGAATAAGGAAAACGACCTGCTGAAGGATCTTCTGAAGGCAAATGTGGAAAAAGCAGTCAAACTTGAAGTGTATAACTCCAAAACCCAGCGTGTGAGGGAGCTGGAGGTGACACCCAGTAATATGTGGGGCGGTCAGGGTTTGCTGGGGGCTAGTGTCCGCTTCTGCAGCTTTGAAGGAGCCAATGAGAATGTGTGGCATGTCTTGGTAAGTTAAATCTACCTGTCTTCGCTCAGGTTTCACCCATTGCTGGTTACTGTAGGTTAAAGGCCTTTGCACACCGAATGTATGCGGAAAGATGGCTAAAATTCCGATTTTTTGGATCCAAACCTGCCGTATAACACATAAACACAACAAAAGTTTTGCTTTGTGTGAAAAAATGAAGTTGAAAGAAAGAAATGATGAGCTGATTCTGATGTTTCTAAACAAGAAAAAGAAGAAAGTGAGAATCCGGGTTCATCCAATTCTCAGGTGAGGACAACAGCAGGGAAAATTTCTTGGTTTGATCCAGGAGTTGAAGCTGTATCTCGACTGCTTTCTCTTTTTGGCAAAATTGCAACCTCATCTGAGGACGTACAGAAATAATTTTAGAGAGCTGATTTAGCCGGAGCAGTGTCTGGCTGTCTGTCTGAGGTAAAATAGTATTATTTTTACTATTTCCATATCATTGCACATTCAGTACTGGTGCATACGTTGAGCAATGAGCACACTTGTTGCCAAATGCAGTGGTCTGATTGGTCAGATCTGTTTATTCCTATGTGAAAAATATGAAAAATCGAGCTTGATCCGAACTATAAAAAAAATAAATCCTGCAAATTTGAATTGAACAGTTGCCTTAAGAATAAGTGAGTCTGAAAAATCATTGCATTCTGTGTTCAAAGGCCTTAAAATTGCAAATGTTAATAATTTTGGTAGATTTTAGAATTTTTAAAAATATTTTTAGGAAGTGGAACCAAATTCTCCCGCCGCTCTCGCAGGCCTGAATGCATACAATGACTTCATCGTTGGAGCTGACCAAGTGTTACAAGATGTAAGATTTCTTGTCTTTTGCCTTTTATTCCAAATAAGAAATAATTGTTTTAACTAGCAGACATTATTAAAAGAAATAACAAAAATCTTATTTTTGTGTGAAACGTCTGCAGTCCGAGGATTTCTTTTCTTTGATTGAAGCCAACGAGGGGAAACCTTTGAAGCTTTTGGTGTACAACACTAAGACGGATCAGTGCCGAGAGGTAGTGGTGACTCCTAACGGAGCGTGGGGAGGCGAGGGAAGGTTGGCATTGATTTTTTTTAAAATCTTTATTTAAATCAAAGCATGTAGCTAAATATTGTCATGTCAACACCCGTGGGGTTTTTTTCCCTATTTTTTAGTTTAGGCTGTGGGATTGGTTATGGATACTTGCACAGAATTCCAACTCGTCCAGTTCAGCCTAACGCCCAGAATAAAAATGTTCTTCAACCAGTGCTCACTGGCAGCAGTGAAGAGGTAGTTGCAACTGAGCACACTGAGGTGGAGGTTGTTGTATCTTATTCTTGCTTATTTATTAAGCTGTGCAGGATGTAATGGCATCTATTGGTAGCAAGGGATCATGTTGAGAAGTACAAAAAGAATAATCTTTTAATTATGGCTTAAAATGAGCCCTACATATCTACTACAGTAGGGATCCACCTTCTACACTAGCTCAGTTTTTTGTTTTTTTTTTCCCAGTCGGGGGTGACGACCTAGTATTCACTTACCGTACATTTTTTAGAAGCGGAAGGTAAGGCAAGGTGTATTGACTTTGTTGCAATCTGCAACCTCACCACTAGATGCCACTGTATCCCACAAACTGCTCCTTTAACTGTAACTCGCTAGAGGTATTTGTGAACTCCAGTTTTCTCTCCTTAGGTGCCTTCTACCGATGAATGTAGCCTATCTACCGAAGAAGCACTGAATCAAAGTGAGAAAAGCATGCAAGATCAGTCTTTAATCTCAGCCACTCAGCAGCCACCAGACCGAGGTAACAGGATCACTTCAGGACATTTTCATCCATTTGCCACATTATGCATTTTCACACGGAATAATGGGCATTTGCTTTGTACTTATTTCAGATGCTTTCACCATACTCGATGCAACAACTTCAGATTTATCAGCCACTGTTTCCACTAATGAGGAAGGCAGCAGCTCCATGTTTGCTAATTATGGAGATGACTCAGGTGATCAGGGTAGCTTGGGTAAGTACTTCATACGTGATTAAATTGTGTGGCTAAATAGAGCAATTACGTGTTTATGATGGCATCCCAATTGAGAAGAAAAATAAGCACGATTAAAACCAGCTATTGTTGACACGCCTCTCAGTTAAGGAGACATTTAATGCAGTGGTTTTGCATTAGTCTCTTTTACTGCAGAATAAAACTAACTGTTTTTTTCACAGATATACGTTTTACAGCAGGTAAAGTGGTCTATACTGAGCACTTCATTAGGTAATGGATTGGACCCCATTTTACCTTGAGAACATTTTTAATTCTTCATGGCAGAGATTCAACAATGAGGTTTTGGTTCATATTGACATGACAGCGTCACACAGTTGTTGCAGAATTGTGAAGTCCATTCGACTAAGATCTGGTGACTGGGGAGGCCATTTCAGTAAAATAAACTTATTGTCATGTTCAAGAAGGGAGTTTAAGATGACTGAAAAATGCACGTTATTATCTCAGAAGCAGCCATCAGAAGGCGGGGGTACTATACTGATACTAACGAGCCCAAAGCGTGACAAGAAATTTCCCCCACCGTCACAACACCACCACCACCAGCAGCATGAACCATTGATACAAGGCAAAATGGATCCAAGCTTTCATGTTGTTTGCTACAGATTCTGACCCTACCAGCCGAATGTCACAGCAGAAGTGGAAACTCATCAGACCAGACAATATTTTTCAAAACCTCTATTGTACAGTTTTGATGAGCCTGTGTGAATTGTAGGTTCAGTTTCCCATTCTTAGCTGACAAGAGTGGCCTTCAGCTGCTTCGAAGTTTGACACGTTGTACATTCACAGATGCTCTTCTGCATACGATGGTTGTAACAAGTTGTTATTTGAGTTGCTGTTGCCTTCCTGTCACCTTGAAGCACTTTAAATATTCTCATCTGGCATCAACAAGGCATTTTCAGCCAGAGAAGTGGTGCTCACTGGGTATTTTCGCTTTTACAGAGAGTCATTTAAATCACCTTTCTTCTTCATTCTGATGCAGAGCTTGAACTTGAGCATATTGACCATGTCTATGGGTCTAAATGCACTGATTTCCATGTGCCATGTGATATCAGTTATCAAGAACTCAGTTAGCATTTTAAACAGTAGGTGCAGGTCAGTCCTTTCCATCAGTGGTCACGGTCTGAAATGCAGCAGTCTGAGCTTTGGTTATGTAATCTATTAAAGTACAAAAGTCATAAAAGGATGCTCAGGAGATTTTATTTTAATTATTGTTAAATATCTCCTTACAGACCAAGGAAGTTGAGCAATTTCCCATGGTTTCACCATCCATAACCTTAACAATATTGTATTATTCTTTTTTTTTTTTTATTAGATTATTCATCTTTTGACCAAAGACCTTCATTTCCAGAGAAGCAAGGAGAACCAGACATCCAGGAACCTGAGCAGAAGCCCGGTATAGACCTGACTACCAGCACTTCTCCTATCAGAGAGACTGCTGAAGACATGGCTGGCCTCAAAATTACCACCGAAAACCCGAGTATCACAACAATCCCCAAGGTACCAGATGCTAACTCTGAGCCTTTAAGCTCAGTTGAGGTTGTGAGCGAAGAGATGTTTGAGCCTGCTGGGCCAGGCAGTTAGCTGACTTTCATAAAGAATATTCAAGAGCACACCATGTTACAAAAAAGCTACCGTTAATGATTGTAAGCTGTTATCACTGGGGCTGTTTTTTTTGTTTGTTTTTGTAAAAGAATTGCGTTTGCATACCAGTGCCACTGCTGCATGCTAAATTGCACATTTATGTTGACTTGAAATTCTAGGAATGCATACAGTTAATCCAACATGAATGTATTCTGTAGTTTAGGCGTACTGTATGTTTCAACATCAAACAAGATGAAGCCTTAGTTAAGCTGTCATGCTGCTTAAAACAATCCTGGTGTGCACATTAAAAGCCCAAGGTAAAAAATAATAATTAGCCTTACCTTGTTGCTCTTACAATAACCACTGTAACACAGTACAAACACTGTAGATTAATGATGTTTGACTTAAGTGTCACACCTGGACTTTTTTTCCATTTTTAAAAAAAGAGGTTTTAATTAAAGTTTGTTTTTACTTTCTCGTGGGTACTCATACAGAAGGATTTAATCTCAGGCGTTTCCTATTTAAGCCTTTTTGCCTTTAATCTTGGTCAAAATCTTCTGTCTAATGTGAATGAGTGGGCCGTGTGTGACGCAGTTCTCTGATTGTTTTCTGTTTCTTCTCTTTTAATCGATTTTAGTTAGATCATGTCTCTGATTTGTATGGAAGAATTGAAAATATACAGATATTTATAAATATATGTTCAAGATAAACCTCCATGAGTCTGTTTTGGTTTCTGTTCTTTCTTTTTTTGGGGCGGGGAGGTCCATGCTGTTGTTAAATCAAAATGTCATTATATTGCCAGCTCACACATATTACTGATATTTCCTGTGTCTAATATGAGTCCTGTCCACCCAGCGGAGTTCATATTTTGAGGCAGCAGATGTCAGCAAACACCTCACGATACATCTCCACTGAGCTAGCGCCAGTTTATTTCCCCTTGCAGCTCCTAAAATTCTGTCCAATCAGATTGCACATTTTCATATATTCAATGAGTCATAAGCTGTTTCTGAACTTTTATTTTAATAAATCATATCTCATTCTTAGAATTATGCAGGAATTATTTATATTTGTTGTTTGATCCGGCTGCTTTCCTCTTCCTATTGAATTTGGATAATCCAGTCTTGCCATGAACAAATACCTGGTCAGTTTCAGGAACCTATTTAGCTGGAAAAGAAATAGTTTGAGGTTTCAGATATTAAACAATAGAAATTTACTGATGTGAACTTGGTTATGTAGTCCATTATTTCCATTTTTTTAAACCGATCCTATATCCAGCAAGCGTGTGTGATCATACGTGGGCTCCAGAAGCTATTGATCAGAAAACAAAGCACGATTTATTTTCATCACTTTTTATTGCTAGATCAGGACAACCAAATATTCTTTGGAAGTATGCCAAAAGAAAAAATGTAAATAAATAAGCATTAGGGGGAAGCTAAAGTAGCAGACAGGGAATATGCCTCAATTATTTACCAGGGCACTCCAATCCTCGGCTGAAGAGGGGGATGGGCATGAAGGGAAAGAAAAGACTGTGCGTGGGGGAAAGAAAGACGAGAAGGAGATGGATTTGTCTTTTTTTTTTTTCCTCCCCAGAATGAGAGCTGGAATGGCGTTCCTAAGGAAGCTTTCCTCTGGCACACCTGTGAATCTGTTGTATTTCTTATATAAATAGGAATTAACTTGGTGGCTTTGGATCCAGCTGCTGTTGGAGATTTAATAGCAGCAATGTGGACATCTCTCAGAAATGTCAGGCTTGTCAAATCAGCACGTTTTAAGTGCAGGGTTGGATGGTGTTTGCGGGTGTCCATTGTAAGTCAGGAGGGGGAGATATGGTATTTCTTCTCTTCTATGTGAGGTTAGATGAAGCAGCCAAAGGCAAAAGCCAGCAGCTGCATGCCAGGAGGAGTGTAAGGAGGTGCCACCTCTGGAGGAACACGCCTTGCTTCCTTTTTTCCTTTTTTTTTTTTTCTTTTTTTTTCCCTGAGACTGTTTCAAAGGATGCTGTGACGCAGCTGAACCCACACGTCAGATTAACTTTATCTCAACCCCTAAGAGGCTCGGCTCACAGGCACCAGCATAGTGCCCGTTGCCTCAGCCTATCGTTGCAGCATGACAAATTGTGAAACAGAATAACTACAGGGAAGGATGGAAAAGGTATAAATACAAGGGGGAAGAGAGTGAACATACAATTGGTGCGCGCACGTTAGTCACACGTCTCCACATAATGCTGTTCCTGTGGCTCGGTTAATGTGCGGCGCTGTCACATGAAGTAGGTCAGATTTGGATGTGTGGATGTTCAAGGGATATAAAATAAAGTGTAGCAATATAGTGACTTCTTAATGTAAAAAAAAATAAAGATTAAATACTAAAAACGGCTGCTTTTCTGTTCACGTGTGGTCACAAATCCACACCACGAACACGCTCGTCAACTTCTATTTTCTGCTTTCAGCACCTTCCCACCCTAATCACAAATATTTTGTCGGGATGGAGACTATATTTGGAAGTGCTGCGAGGTGTATTTGCATACATGCATCACGCGGTGTTCTTCACAGTGTGTTCTCTCAGAGCTTGGGAATAATCCTGGAAAGTGCCTGTGTGTCAAACCACCAATGTACAGGCTGTAATTACATTCATTCATGCAAGAGGACTGTCACTCTGAGGGGTCTGAATTCATTAGGAAGTTGTTTCCACCTCTTGCCGTCATTATCGACTGGCTTTATGCTTCTAATTGAGCAGGAGATTAGAATTGCTTCCAGTAAACATTACCGTAGATTTGCTTGTAAATTGTTGTTCCACACATACTTTAGCCCTTTGGACGGAAAGCAATCTTCTATAAACAAGTGGGTTATATTTCAACTTTAGCCTGCACTGTGTATATACCAGTCTTTGATGTGTACTGTAGTAAACTGACTAAGAGGCAATACTTTTTGGGGAGAAGTAGAATATAGTTTGGTTAAATCAAGGTACAATAACTACATGCAGAAGAAAATCCAGTATACTGCCCCAGTTAGGAGTCATGTCACACCAAATCTCCTTTAATGCACTTTGGAATTGATTTTTCAAATCCCTGGAATTTTACTAGAAGGGTTGAACACCCTTCTTCTACACAATAAATCCCTCATTATATGCTGGTGATGGAAAATGCCGTCTATCACATCGATCCAAACTCTCTTAAAGGTGTTTAACTGCGGGGCTACAAAAGCCGTACCGTATTAGCCGCACCATTTGCATTCTGATCGAACCATTCAGTCAACCCATTGAAGAGACCACTCCCCTCAGGACAGAAATGTTTCATCACTGGGTAAACATGATCAATTATAACAACTTCAAACTGATTCACAGTGGCTCTTTCCTTCAAGGAAACAAGACGTCCATATACACTAAACTGCATGTGAGCTTGAATTCTTCCCTTTAAAACTGCTGATCGTCCCACGATATGTTCCCATCCTTTTTCTCTCTGTTATTGTAGGATGACTTCAGGTGACTGTTGCTATGATTTGGCTCTGTATAAACAAAAGGGAATTGAACTTAACTGAATCCTAAGGCATCATCTGCTGCCACTGGTATCTTGGAGATGCATATGAGGCAATGTAGAGGAGCCCTCGTTCTTATTGGAAAGGGAGAAAGACTGTTTGTTGGTGGTTGTTGGAGAAAGTCACAGGTTTTTCGGTCAGGTACCAGTGATTTGTGCCCTGTTTGTTTTCTCTTGAATTCCACTTTCACTCGCTAATTAGATGTAGGCACTATTTAGATAAACCTGGGCACTGAAAACTACAAGATTGGTTTAGGAACACAATATTATCTGTCCTATAGAAAAATAACATTTACCCAGTTTTTAAAAATTATTTATATCAATTTTTGTAAATACTTTTTAAAATGTTTTTTTATTATATATAACTTTTTACAGTTTTATTTTTATTATTTATTTTATTGATTTATTTATTTTTAATGATGATGATTATTTTTGTGTTTTTTTAACTCAGTGGATTTAAATGTGAGGGGGGTTTAGCTGGGAGTGAGAAACCTGTGAGAACTCGTCCTAACACCATTGCCACAGGAAACCACGCGTGGAATAATTTTGAGACACTGGTGGTTTTGACAATCGGCAGCATTTCACACCTTTTGAATGAGACCAGGGTGATTACAAAGAGATGTGCAAATTAAAAAAAAAAAAAAGCTGCCATGTTGCACCAAAAGTCAAAATATTTCACTTGTGATATTTTCCCAGTTTATGTGCACTAGATTTAGCTCAGCATGAGTCTTTGCTGCTCTGAAACACAAGCAAAGGAAAGTAGGACAAAAGCAACTGGCTTATTGTTGCATATTACACCATATAATGCTAGTGAAAATGAAAACAGTGAGTGTTAGAGAGAAAAATCATATCAGCAATAAGAAACCCTAACATCCCTTATGTATGACTCATAACATAGGGGATGTTATGACTCATAACATCCCCTATGTTTTTGGTTTTAAGAACTTTTGTGGAATTTTACCACCAGACCCGTACTTCTACCTTGTTTCTGAGAAATGACAGTTATTAGTCACATGAACACAGGAGGTTGTTAGTCAGAAAAAAATAAAATAGCAGTTTAAAGAATTGTCAGTTTCACTGTTTTTCTGCTGAATTCCACAGACATGCTCACAGCTCTGTGCGGCTACACAAAGCTCAAAACAAAAGTGCAGCTGTAATAGTACGGTCACCATCTTCATTCAGTGCATTAGAGTGCTAACCATTCCTGCAAAATTAAAGCAAATTTAAAAAAAAAAAAAAGAGCTTAGAAATTATTATCATATTATAGCCAAGAAGCACTACGAGAGCACAAACCTCCTCCAAGACAGTTCACTGTAAAACTCTGTATATGTTCATTTTCCATTCATTTTTCTCTTTGTTATTGTAACACGTAGTTTTTAGAAGTTAGAGGTGGTGATAGTGCAGGAAAAACAAGCAAAAATGTAGGTTTGTGTAATTTTCCCTGTTGAAACCAGTTTTTAACATGCTCGACATAATTATTATTATTTATACACATGGATATGCTACGTGTGTAGCATTCTTTTCATTGTTTAGTACTGTTCATTTAAATGCTTAATTTAAAAAAAAAAAAAAAACTTTTTGAAAAAGTTTTTGTTTCCCCCCCAAAAAAAAACTTATTCAGAAACATACATGTTATAACCTGTTACTGTAATTCACACCACAAAGTTATGATAAAATTAACACTTGAGTGCCTTAAACACTAATATGTGACAGACTATGCCAGCTGTTGACAGTAGCTTCATACTGGTTGGGTTGCTGCCCAAACACATGAGTGTCTTTAATTACTTGTTATGTCTAATTATGATATCAACTAAGCAAATCAGGTAAGGGTAGCATGACAGATATTTACTTTGATTAGGTAGGTAGCAGGTAATGGATAATAGGCATTTATTTGTGAATAACAATAAGCTTTTTTCAGAATAATGTTATACCACAGTATATTTTTAACTAACTAGGCAGCTTTTCATGACACATTGAAATGTGACATGTGAAATCTAAAAGTGAGATCAGAGGTCACATCTGTCCTGATTTGGATACAAACTGTGAATACAATCATATTTTATTCATAGCATGTTTATTTATTCATTTTATTTAGAAAGTGGGGCAATACATATTAATGAACATTTTAACAAATGTAAATATGCCAGATTATAGCTTTGGGCTAATTTCCATCTGCAGACCCTCTGGCAGGTTGGTGTTAAACACAAGTTAGTAAAAACATACAGAGACACTATTTACAGGTCATGTGACAAGGACAAAAACAGTGATCAACCAGAACAAACAATGACAAGGAGAGTGGACACAGAGGACAGTATAGATAACAATAACGGAAACACATCAATTATATTGCACAAACCCCAGTATTGCACATGCCCTGACTGTCCTG